TTCTACTACTGTAACAGTTCTTAATAGGGATGATAGTAGGGGGCACTATAGTCCTTTCTGTTAGTATAAGGGGGAACACCCCAAGTCCTAAACCCCAAGCCACAAACCCAAAGGGGTTCAGTGGAAGAGGGCTTGGGTGTTTTGTTCGGGATCCTGGGGCTTCAGTTGCTAAACCGAAAAAAAGCACAACCTTTTTTGATGCTTAGTTCCTTCACTGGGGGCCCTTATATGACAAGCTGCGGTTTAGGGTTTAGGTTAGGTGTTAGGTTTTAGGCTTTAAGGTTTTGGGGTTTAGGGTTTAGGGTTTGGGGTTTAGGGTTTAGGGTTTAGGGTTTCAGACCACAAAATTAGTGTATGATCGGACTCTGCCCTGGACTCCTAAGGTTGTATCCACGGGTTTGGGGGACCCTTGCTTCAGATCCTCTAAGGGAAGAGTAGGGGCCATGTTAGGAGTGTATATACATATATATGTATATGTGAATGCATATGTATATGTATATGTATATGTATACGTATACGTATATGTATATGTATATTTATATGGGTATGTGTATGTGTATGTGTATGTTAATGAGATTATTAATGCTGATACACGATGCATCTCTATCTTACGATTATTGGCATCATTTTTCTATGAATGTGTTCTTATATGAATAACTCATGCACGTGTTGCTGTTGATTTTTGGATTCAGTTTTTGGTTAGATACAGCCCAGGGGAGTATTCCTCATGAGTTACTTACGGTTCTAAGGACAATATAGAGCACCAGAGTGTAACCTCTAGACTCTAAATCCCTGGACCCTCAGCCTCAGCCAGCTTAAACCCCTACACCCCTCAACCTAACCCCTAAACCCTAAAACCCTAAACTCTAAGCCCCTCAACCCTAAACCCTAAGCCCCTCAACCCTAATCCCTAAGCCCTCAACCGTAAACCCCTAACCCTAAACCCTAAACCTTAAACCCTACACCCCAAGCCCTGCTTTCTCGCTTAGTCATCTCTCCGCCTGCAGCCAGGTGAAGACGCTTCTGACCTCGAAGGCCGATACAACTCAGGCCAGAAGAGGGTTCTGAGGTTCAGAGTGTAGGGTTTAGGGTTTAGGGTTTAGGGTTTAGGGTTTAGGGTGTAGGGATGTTTAGGGTTTAGGGATGTTTGAGGTGAAGGGTTTTGGGCTTAGGGATGTTTAAGGTTTAGGGTTGGCTTCCAACGCCTGAGCCCTCAACCAGAGCCACGGTTTAGGGTTTAGGGTTTAGGGTTTAGGGTTTAGGGTTTAGGGTTTAGGGTTTAGGGTTTAGGGTTTAGGGTTTAGGGAAGATTCAGCCTTCTCAGCCTGGAGCCCTAAACTCTTAAACCCCCTATCATTTTGCTTTCGCCCTCGCCCCTAAACCATTGAACTCTAAGTTGTACACCCCAAACCCTAAACCCTAAACCCTAAGCCCTAAGCCCTAAGCCCTAAGCCCTAAACCCTAAACCCTAAACCCTAAACCCTAAACCCTAAACCCTAAACCCTAAATCCTAGACACCTTCTGGGTGGCCCCGAGTGCCAGGTTGACATTGAGATGCAGACGGCGCTCCATTGGGCGGCGCACTCCCCAGCTCTAGGGGTTTTGTTTAGTTTTTTTGTTTTGTTTTTGAGGGGTTTTTATTTATTATTACTTTTTTTTCGGGGTTTTAGGGTTTTTTGGGGGGGTTTTGGGAGGCTTGGGGAGGTTGAGGGTTTTGGGGTTTTGGGGTTTTCGGGCAGCAAAGAAGCAGCGCGACCCCGCACCCGCAACACTTTGTGACCTGGCTTGAGCTCTTGGGGCAGCCCAGGGTTCAGGGTTTAGGGTTTTGGGTTTGGGGTTTATTAGGGCTTAGGGCAACTCTAACTCTAAACCCTAAACCCTAAGCCCTAAACCCTAAACCCTAAACTCAAGGAGCAGGCCGCCTCCCTACAGTGGGGGGGGGGGGGGCGGCGCCTAAGCCTCTCGACCTCGATGGCGCAACCCCCTTTTTGGAACTAGACTGGCGACCACCGTGACGGAATAAAGAAGTGTTATTATAAGTAAGCAATTTACTTGAAATTTGGGCCTAAACCCCAAAAGGAATAGGTTTGGGTGGTGTTGCCGCCTCGGACGGTGTGGGGTGGGAGAAAGGTGTCAGATGGCCCTCCGTAATCGGGCCAGAGATGCTCTTCGCACCTCACCAAGCTTTCGAGCTTGTCCCAAAGCCTAACCTTCACATTCACAGCACCTGCGCCCCATTACAGCAAACCCTAAACCCTAAACCCTAAACCCTAAACCCTAAACCCTAAACCCTAGACCCTAGACCCTAAACCCTAAACCCTAAACCCTAAACCCTAAACCCTAAACCCTAAACCCTAAACCCCAAGCCCTAAACCCTAAACGGAGGCTGTGGGTGGAAGAACCGAAGTGGCGCGGCTGCTGGCAGCCCTCGGACAGAAGGACGCCAAGAACGAGCAGGACACCGCAGATTTCTGGGCTCGGGGGAAGGTTTAGGGTTTAGGGTTTAGGGTTTAGGGTTTAGGGTTTGAGGGCTTCGGGGTTCCGAGGGCTTCCTGAAGTGTTCAGGGTTAAGGGATGGGCCCAAAAGGGCACTTCCTCCCGAGAGTCTGGGACGTAAAGGGGTTTGCTTGTTTAGGGTTTAGGGTTTAGGGTTTAGGGTTAGGGTTTAGGGTTTAGGGTTTAGGGTTTAGGGTTTAGGGTTTAGGGTTTAGGGTTTAGGGTTCAGGATTTAGGGTTTAGGGTTTAGGGTTTAGGGTTTAGGTTTGAGGGCCTTCCCCCCCGCCAGGGCGAGACGCCGGCGATGGTGGCAGAGATGCTCGGCAGTTTAGGATTCAGCTTTCTGGTCTAGGGTTTGGGGTTTGGGGTTCAGGGTTTAGGGCTTGGGGCGTGAAGGGTTTAAGGGCGACACCTCACATTCAAGCCAGACAGGGAGGGCGTGACGGGTTAAGGCTTTTTGTTGGGTTAAGGGTTTAGGGCTTAATTGGGGTTTAGGGTTTAGGGTTTAGGGTTCAGGGCGCAGCAGTCGCTTGCTTGGCGTGTGACAGCATGCCCGACCAAGGAAGATGAAGCACAGGGACACAGCAGCCTCTCTCATGTAGGCGCCCGGCTGCTTTGATCGTGCGGACTCTCACGCCCTAAACCCTGAACCCTAACCCTTCTCCCCCTAAAGCCCCGAACCTTTAACGTCAAGTTCCAGAAATGATCTTTTGGGGCTTCGAAGCCCGAATTGAAGGGCTCTTATGAGGCTTAAGGTTCTTGGGCAGTGTTGAGCCCAAGAGTTTTGGTCCAGGTGAACCTCTGCATGGGGGGTAGGTACCTAGGGAAGCTTCGGGAAGCTTAGGGAGCCTTATGGAGTGTTGGGGAGTATGGGGAGCCTTGAGTGACATACCCCCCCTTGAGACCCCCTCCCTTAAGAAACCCGAAGCTACACCCACCAAAACCCGAAGTTCGAGCTTCCGGAAGTGTCAAAGGGTCGGTTCTCTAAGTGATGGCCCCTTGTTGGGTACCCTAAATAAGAGGGGCCGCCGTCTAGTAAGGACCCCAAAGGGACCCATACTTGAGAGAAGTGACCATATGGCCATTTCCCACATGGTCCTTTACCAACATGGGGTTTTGGGTCTAGGTCCTTAAACAAAACGACCCCAAAGTAGCGCAATCCTCGGTTGAGGGTTCCAGGGTTGTGGGTTCAGGTTGAAGACCCTATTTTGAGGGTATGTAGTCATAATTGCTATACCACTTCAAACCCAAAAAGGGACTGCAATGCCTACATGTGGCCGCTGACTGCTTGCAGGGGCGGGCTGGCCATCTCCCACCCCCCCGTGACGCTGCTGCTTTTGAAGGCCTGCCAGCGAGGCAGCGTGGACCGTGGCCTCTTGCCATCACTGGCCCAGGCAAGGAACCCCTAAACCCCCTTAAATTGCCTAAACCCCCCCACTCTCAGGCACCCTAAACTACATGTTAGGGCTCATGGGTTCCATTAAAGAAGCCTGGGCATCCCGCGTCTCACCCAAGTCGATCTCAAGCCCACGGAGAGGAAGCCAACGTGCTTCTTGTCAGCTGCACAAGCTCAGAGCTCACGCCCGGAACGCGTCTTCTTTTAGGGGTCCTAAACCCTAAACCCTGAACCCTGAACCCTAAACCCTGAACCCTGAACCCTGAACCCTGAACCCTAAACCCTACACCCCAGACCTGAGGGGCCCCTGAAAGCCTCCACACCCCCCCTGGAAAGCACGCGCTTCGGGAGAGAGATGGGGCTGGTTTTGCCGGCAGAGGAAGCGGGCGGCTGACTCGGGCGAGCAAAGGGTCCTGAAATGGAGTCGCTAAACCCTAAACCCTAAACCCTAAACCCTAAACCCTAAACCCTAAACCCTAAACCCTAAACCCTAAAGCCTAAACCCTAAGCCCGAAACCCTCAACCCTCAACCCTAAACCCTAAGCCCGAAACCCTAAACCCTAAGCCCTAAACCTGCGACCCCTAGCCCACCGAGCCCACCAGACTCCAAGACTCCAAAGCCCAACCGCCCTAAACTCCAATCCCCGGGTTCAGTGTTTAGGGGTTTAGGGTTTAGGGTTTAGGGTTTAGGGTTTAGGGGTTTAGGGGTTTAGGGTTTAGGGGTTTCAGGTTTTCAGGTTTAATTTTAGGGTACCCCCCCTGGGGTTTAGGAGTAGCCTCCTGCAGGCGGATCACAGTTTGCTCGCCCGGGGGCGAGTTTGAAGTGCTACCACCAGCCGCAGCTCCTCTAATTGGTGGGATCCTAACACAACTTCCCTCGCCCTTTAGTGTGGTCTCCTGATTAGTGTGGGGCCCCCCCCCCCCCCCAAATATTAATTCCGCCCCCGCAATAGTAACAAAAAAAAACGGACCCCCCAAACTAATTTCGGCCCCGGCCCCCCCCCCCCCCCGGCTCTCATTCCCTCTTGGCTCCTCTTCCCTCTCCTCTTCCTCTCCTCTCCTCTTCCTCTCCCTCCTCTTAGGTAATCAAGCTCAGATAAGCTCAGATGAGCTCAGCTCAGGTAAGCTCAGGAAAGCTCAGGTAAGCTCAGTAATTAAAGCTAAGGTAAGCTCCGCTCAGGTAATCTTAGGTAAGCTCAGGTAAGCTCAGGTGAGCTCAGCTCAGGAAAGCTCCGGTAAGCTCAGGAATTAAAGCCTGACATTATTGTGGGTGTGCATCAGTTTTTATTAATGAGGTTCGGGGCAGCTCGTGGACTACCCCCTTCAAAATTTGATGGCTAGGGCTCCTCAGATAAGCGAAGTCATAAGGAACCCTTGCTTTCTGGCCTGGCCGTAGACCCTGAACCCGGGAAGCTTGAGGCCTGAGGGTCGAGGCCCTTCACTTTTCTTTCCTCATCTTCTTCTCCTTTTTTCTTTCTTCCGAAGCCCATGCCCGAAAAACTTTGCATTATAGTGCGGGGGCAGCCAAATCTTTGTCCCCTGAATTGTTTTTTGAAAACTTTTCATTATTGACGGGGTCCACACTAATCAGGATACAACATTACCCTCTATGCCCCCAATATAAGGCCGCCTTGATGAAGCCCGACCCTAACTAGGGCGGGGAGAGTAAAGGATCTCACAACGAACCGGGCCGCCGTGTCATGGGCACCAGGTCGGGGGTCGTGGCCCAAATGTTGAAGCCTTAGGGTTCACGGTTTAGGGCGTCGAATTTAGGGGTCATCATCGAAGAAGCAGGATAGTTAAGTTTGTTCTTTAGAGATCCAGAGTGCCTAGGGTTGGCTCAGAAACGCTAAAGCCTGGACTACTCGCGTTTCGCTAACGCTACAGCCTAGACTACTCGCCTTTCGCTACTCCCACAAAAGGGTTTAGGGTGTTGGGGTTTAGGGCTATTGGTTTGAGAGTATCATGGTTTGGGTGTTACGGTATTCAGGTGCCCTAAACCCTAAACCGTAAACCCTAAACCCTAAACCTTAAACCCTAAACCCTAAACCCTAAACCCTAAACCCTAACCCCAAACCCCAAACCCTAAACCCTAAACCCTAAACCCTAAACCCTAAACCCTAAACCCTGAACCCTGAACCCTGAACCTTCAAACCGAAAGCCGGACAGCCATGACCCCTATGCGGCAACTGCCGTGGCCACGCCGTTTTCTCCGTCGTAGCAACGAAGAACAGCCAGCGAGGAGGAAGCTACGCTTGCGTTCCAAAATCTCACCACCAGCCCAGGGGTGGGTTTAGGGTTTAGGGTTTAGGGTTTAAGGTTTAGGGTTTAGGGTTTAGGGTTTAGGGTTCAGGGTTCAGGGTTCAGGGTTCAGGGTTTAGGGTTCAGGGTTCAGGGTTCAGGGTTCAGGGTTTGGGGGCCAGTGTCTACGCTCATAGAGGTCATGAAGCAGAATCCCGGGGTATGGGACCTATCAGACCCTACGTGGCACCCCGCAATCGGGCTCAGGAGCGCACCTGCAGAGTGTGCTGTGCAGTCGCGCAAGGCATGCAAGCACATCAGCTAGCGACTAGCTGTGACACAGACCCTGTCAAAGGGTTTAGGGGTTCAGGGTTTATGGTTTAGGGTTTAGGGAGCTTCCCCGCAGAACCCTCTGGCACCGGGCGTTGAAGCAGTCACTTTTGACGCACCCTGTTGGGCCTGGCGCCCCTCACTTCTTCAAGATAGAGAGATCATGGAAAGGGACCACGAGTATGGCAACAGCGAGGACGCGGTGTCATGCTCATCTTCCTAAACCCATGCTGAAGACCTCCCACCCAAAACCCTAAACCCTAAACCCTAAACCCTAAACCCTAAAACCCAAAACGCTAAAAGCCCTTCCTGCACGGCCTACACACCCTTTCACACGATCCCCGAAGGATCAGATTGCGGTTGGCGTGCAGATCATCCAGCGGGCGTTCCAGAGGAAGGCAGGGGGCTTTAAACCTCTAAGGCCCTAAGCCTCTCCGAAACCCCCCACATGGGAGTTAAACGATACTAGGGGTACCTTCTTGGGGTCCTTCTCATAAGGGGGATCCGACTATTTGGGGGTCAGAACTAGGGTCCCTTCTTGTCCTAACCCCCGAGATGCCTGAAACCCAAAGAACCCTAAACCCTTCATGCCCCCCCCCCCCCCCCCCCGGTCTGGTTTGAATGTGAGACCTAAACCCTTCACGCCCAGGGCCCCCCCAAGCCCTAAACCCTAAACCCTAAACCCTAAGCCCTAAACCCTAAACCCTAAACCCTAAACCCTAAACCCTAAACCCTAAACCCTAAACCCTAAGCCCTAAACCCCAAGCTCCAAACCCGAGCACGCAACCCCGAGACCCGGCCCCAGAAACTTCGGAGGTTCGGGGTTGCCTTCAGGAATTAGGGCTTGGGCTTCGAAGGTATACGGCTCAGGCTCAGTGTGCCGGTTTTTTTTTTTCGGCGGCCGGGGGGGAGGGGGGCTTAAACTTGGGGTTAAAGGGGGGGCGCTTCTGGGGTTTCTGGGGCCCTACAGTCACTAAACCCTACACCCGAAACCCGAAACCCTAAACCCTAAACCCCAAACCCTAAACCCTAAACCCTATAACTAAACCCTAAACCCTAAACCCTAAACTCTAAACCCCAAACCCTAAACCCTAAAGGGCTCAGGAATTCAAGATCAGCGTGCGAGGCACGTATGGAGTCCTTAGCATGGGGCCTCAACGCTGAGTCCGAGGCCCTCCTCAAGTAAAGGGTTTAGGGTTTAGGGTTTGGGGTTTGGGGTTTAGGGTTTAGGGTTTAGTTATTATGGGCTCAGGTCCGGAAAGTTTCGGGGAGTTTCGGAAAGTTTCGGGGAAAGTTTCGTTTTTAGCAGTTCAAGTTACAGGGGCTTGAGGGTTTAGGGTTTAAAACACCCTAAACCCTAAACCCTAAACCCTAAACCCTGAACCCTAAACCCTAAACCCTAAACCCTAAACCCTAAACCCTAAACCCTAAACCCTAAACCCCAAACCCCAAACCCTAAACCCTAAAGCCCTGCGACTGTCCAGGTGAACAGCCTGGACCAGGAGATCAAGAAGATGGAGCCACTTGGCCACAAGGGCCCAAAAGAGAAACCCAAACCCGAAGCTAGGAAGAAGCAAAGCCTTAGGGTTTAGAGTTTAGGGTTTGAGGGTTAAGGTTTTTCTAGGGTTTAGGATTGAGGGTTCAGGGTAACCCTAAACCCTCAACGCAAAAAGCCTAGCCTCTATTCTTTCCCAAGCTCGAAGCGCCAACCTTGGGGTCTGGTGCCTAGGGTTACACCCACCGAAGCACTTGCTGTAGCCGGAAGCTGAAGACGCCCGATGCCTTCCTAAACAGGGTTTAGGGTTTAGGGTTTAGGGTTTAGGGTTTAGGGTTTAGGGCTTAGGAAGCCGAAGCGATGGCTCATGCTTTCCCCTCGCAAGGTTCAGGCGAAGCAATTTCCCCAAAGTCTTCCCAGGGTTCAGGGTTCACCAATATTATGTTCCTTGTTTTTGTTGTATTGGTTTCAGGAGCTCAGTATGGCGGTTTCCGACATTGGGGCCCTTATTATGAGGGGATCCTACTATTTGGGGATCTATGTTGGACGTCCCCTATTTCGTAACCCCCCCCCCATATACACTACCAAGATGCCATTGCAACCGCAATCCGCTTCATGTCATGTCACGCTCCCCGTCCTGTTCATGACATCCAAGGTTGACTTGTGAGGACCGCGTGCTCCTCTTGCCTGCCATTGCTTGGGGCCTAAACCCTAAGCCCTAAGCCCTAAGCCCTAAGCCCCAACCCCTAAACCCTAAACCCGCTCGGAAGAGTGGAAGTCACACTGACGAGGGGCGTGTACGCGGTTTCTTTTGTTGCGTATTGGTGAGTGCATGCTTTGGGCGTCCTTTATTGGGGGGGAGACTAGCAACAAGTTTTGGGGTCTGCCGTTCTCTCTCTTATCGCAGGTTCCTATTCTGGCAGCTTCTTAGGGTAGAGGCCCTAAACTCTAATTAAACCCTAAACCCTGAACCTTAAACCCTAACCCCTAAACCCAGAGCCCTAAACCTAAATTTTAAACCCTAAACCCTAAAACCCTAAAATCCTAAAACCCTAAAGCCCTAAAACCCTAAACCCTAAACCCTAAACCCTCAACCCTCAACCCTAAACCCTCAACCCTAAACCCTAAACCCTCAGCCCTAAACCCTCAACCCTAAACCCTCAACCCTCAACCCTCAACCCTCAACCCTAAACCCTAAACCCCAAACCCTAAACCCTAAACCCTAAACCCCAAACCCCAAACCCTAAACCCTAAACCCTAAACCTTAAACCCCAAACCCTAAACGCCCGAAGCCCTAAGCTGAAGGGCTCGGGGGCACGGAGGAGCACCGGGCCAACGTGGCAAGCCTGGACCGGAAGAACTCCGCTCTGCAGGAGGGCCTCAGGGCTTTTAGGGTTTAGGGTTTAGGGTTTAGGGTTTAGGGTTTAGGGTTTTAGGGTTTTAGGGGTTAGGGTTTAGGGTTTTTAGGGTTTTAGGGTTTTAGGGTTTAGGGTTTGGAGTTTAAAATTTAGGGCTTCAGGGGGTCCAAGGTTTGGGGTTTAGGGAATGGGGTTTATGAGTTCAGGGCTTCAGGGTTTTCAAGGTGTTTGTAGGGCTACAGGGCATTTATCGTCTTACAGGGCTTTAGGGTTTGTGGATTCTGGTGTGTAGGGTTTTAGGATTTAGGGTTTCAGGGCTCAGGAAGTTAACGCACCACAAACCTCGCAGCCCCCGTTGCCCCGTTTAGCCCAAACCTGCGAGCCCCGAAACCGCCCCTAAAACCCTAAACGCTCCAAATCCTGCGCCCCTACAAGCCCTTCCCGCGCCCCAGCCACCTTCCACAACTGCAACCCCCGACCTCAAACGCTAACACCTAAAGCCATAAACCCAACGCCCCAAAACCCTAAAACCTCAAAACCCAAACCCCAAACCCGAAACCCCAAACCCCAAACCCCAAACCCAAACCCTAAATCCCTAAACCCTCAACCCCCAAACCCTGAACCCCAAACCCTAAACCTAAATCCTAAACCCTAAACCTTAAACTCCAAACTCTAAACCCTAAACCTTAAACCTTAGACTCGAAACAGAGCAGGTGGAGCTCGTGGAGACTAAAGAGCGCTGGGAGCAGCTGCAAGACGAGGAGAAGGCGCACGAGGGTTTAGGGTTTAGGGGTTTAGGGTTTAGGGTTTGGGGTTTGGGGTTTAGGGTTTGGGGTTTAGGGTTTAGGGTTTAAGGTGTAGGGTTTAGGTTTCGAGGTTTTGGTTTAGGGTTGTGCCGGGGCGCTGGGGTTTTTTGAGGGTTCCAGGCTTAGGGTTCGGGGGTGCTTTGGGGGTTTCGCTTCTACCCTAAACTTACCCTACACTTACCCTACCCCTAAACCCTAAACCGTAAACCCTAAACCCAAAACCCAAAACCCTAAACCCTAAACCCGAAACCCTAAACCCTAAACCCTAAACCCTAAACCCTAAACCCTAAACCCTAAACCCTAAACCCTAAACATGCTACAAACCGGAAACCCGAGAAACCCTAAACCCGAGAAGCCTCTCCAGTCCCTTATTAATTCGGTCTGGACGGAAAGGAGCTCTACAAGACCCTGGGCTCGCTGAAGAAGCAGATTCTGAGGCTCTGAGGGTTTGAGGGTTTGAGGCTGTGAGGCTTTGAGGGTTTGAGGGTGTAGGAAGCAGGGTTTGGGGTCTGTGAGGCGCATGTGGTTTCTAGGGGTTCAGGCGGCCATCTACGCAGGAATTGGCCGTGCGTGTGTTCAGATCCCACTTGCCGGACGGTTCCTATACGACAGAATTTAAGGTTTTTTTTGTTATGAGGGTTTAGGGTTTTCCCGGTGCTTGTGTAAAGTTAGTGTACCAGCAGGGACGATGATGTTGTAACCCTACCGGCTTTCTGACTGTGCCCTCAGCTGCTGGATGCACCCGTGGCCCTCAAACAGCAAAATTCAAGAAACACAAAGGACAATCCTACATGGGAGTTTCCGAAACGGGGTACCTTCTTGGGGTCCTTCTTTCCAGGGAATGGGTCTATTATTGGGGTCCCATATTTCTCGTAAGCCCACACATCCTGCACCCTAAGCCCCAAGCCCTGAACTCGAAACCCTTCGAACGGCCGTAGCGCGTGTCCTGCGCCGCAAAGGCTGGAAAGTCTGAAGGCTGCCGTCCTGAAGGAAATTCAGGACCGAGGTGACGAGACCCTAAACCCTAAACCCTAAACCCTAAACCCTAAACCCTAAACCCTAAACCCTAAACCCTAAACCCTAAACCCTAAACCCTAAGGCCTACACCCTAAACCCTAAGGCCTACACCCTAAACCCTAAACCCTAAAGCGCAACCCCCTTCACTCTGGCACAGACTTGTCGGCCTCTGGGCGCCCTACGGCCCCCCAAAGCCCTCAGGCCCGCATTTCCCTAAATTGAGGTTTAGGGCTTAGGGCTTAGGGTATAGTTTAGGGTTTAGGGTTTAGGGTTTAGGGTTTAGGGTTTAGGGTTCAGGGTTCAGGGTTTAGGGTTTGGGGTTTAGGGTTTGGGGTTAAGCCCCTTACCCCCCCTCTTAAAGCCCAGGAAGCTCATGTTGTTTGGGAGGTTTTTACCCTAAACCCTGAACCCTGAACCCTAAACCCTAAACCCTAAACCCTAAACCCTGAACCCTGAACCCTGAACCCTGAACCCTGAACCCTGAACCCTGAGCCCGAGGATGATCAGCACAAGGAAGCAGAGCTTGGCGAGCTGAAAGCCCTGATGAGCGACGAGTACTTCCGCGTGGGCCTGCCTCAAGTTTGCTTTTGGGGTTTGGGGTTTGGGGTTTGGGGTTTGGGGTTTGGGGTTTAGGGTTGAGGGTTTAGGGGCTTAACACCCAGACCCCCAGAAAATGTCGTACGGGTAGGGTTGAGTTGGGCCAGGGGGGGGGAGGGTTCGCATGACATCAGAACTAACGTGTGTGAGTCCTAAGATTGCCCACGAGCAGCCCTAAGCCCTAAACCCTAAACCCTAAACCCAGAAAGGGAGCCATGGTTTGGAGAAACTGGCGCTGCTGATACAGTAGGCTTCTGCAGCTGTGGGGCGCTCAAGAGCCCGTAGACCATGAACCTAAACTCCGGAACAAGGTCCCTTAGTATTGCGTCACCAGAAGTTGTTAGAGGGTTCTGAGGTATTGATGCAGTGTACCCCAAAATTAAGCCCTAAACTCTACAAACCCTAACCCTAAACTCCAAGCCCCAAAACCCCTAAACCCTAAACCCGAAACCCACCCGAAACCCTAAACCCTAAACCCTAAACTTCCCAAACCCCAAACGCGGCCAACGCCCCCTTCTTCTTCCCCGGGTGGCCAGGGCACGATGCCTCTCACAGCTGGAGAGCTCGGCTATGGCCACACGAGCAGCTTGTCCCGACATTTCGGGTTTGGGGGTTTAAGGGTTTTAAGGGTTTTAAGGGTTTTCAGGGTTTTAAGGGTTTTAAGGGTTTTAAGGGTTTTAAGGGTTTAAAGGGTTTAAAGGGTTTTAAGGGTTTTAAGGGTTTTAAGGGTTGTGGGGTTTAGGGTTTTAGGGTTTTAGGGTTTTAGGGTTTTACGGGTTTTACGGGTTTTACGGGTTTTACGGGTTTTACGGGTTTTACGGGTTTTACGGGTTTTACGGGTTTACGGGTTTAAAGGGCTTTAAGGGTTTAATTGGCTTTAGGGGTTTGAAAGGGTGTTAAGGGTTTAAGGGTTCAGGGTTGAGCCCTACACCCTAAACCCTAAAACCTGAAGCCCTTCCAGATGAATTCGGGACTCTGGGGGTTCATAGTTTCATCAGAGCTTGTTTAAGGACCCCTAGTCCCTGAACCCTCAACCCCAAGCCCCTCAACCCTCAACCCCACTCCCTGCACCCGAACGCCCGAAAGCCCTAAACCCCAAACCCTGAACTCCTAAACCCGAAACCCTAAACCCTAAACCCGAAACCCCAAACCCTAAACCCTAAACCCTAAACCCTAAACCCGAAACCCTAAACCCTAAACCCCTAAACCCCCTAAACCCGCAAAAACCGGGAAACCCTGCGCCCTGCTTGGACAGGTGCAGCACCCTCCCGCCATGAGGGCCTGAGAGCGCCCAAATTCGGCACCCAGGACTACCCTTGGGGTTTAGGGTTTAGGGTTTCGGGTTTAGGGTTTAGGGTTTCGGGTTGAGGGTTTAGGGTTTAGGGTTATTTAGGGTTATTTAGGGTTATTTAGGGTTTAGGGTACGCATAGGGTTTAGGGTTTCGGGGGCTGCGGGAGGGGTTGGGGTCTGGGGTTGGGGCTTATGTAGGGCTTAGGGTGCAAGTCACAGGGCTTAGGGCGTAGGGGTTTGGGGTTTAGGGTTTAGGGTTTAGGGTTTAGGGTTTAGGGTTTAGGGTTTGGGGTTTAGGGTTTGGGGTTTAGGGTTATTTAGGGTTATTTAGGGTTTATGGGCTTTGAGGCAGTTAGGGGTTTCGGGTTCTTAGAGTTGACTTGTTTTTTACAAAAGTTGGCCTGGGGCCCTCCAAAAGCCATCCCAGAGCCTGGATTCAGGCTTTAGCGGAAAAAACATAACTAAACCCTAAACCCTAAACCCTAAACCCTAAACCCTAAACCCTAAACCCTAAACCCTAAACCCTAAACCCTAAGCCCTAAACCCTAGACCCTAAACCCCCTAAACAGAAACGTATGGCCCGCCATGCAGGCGACGTTTCCGCAGGCTCCAACCGAGCCGATTGCGGCGGCACCTCCCCCGCTACAGGCCGGGCTTCCTGTGTCACCTTGACAAAGCTTGGGGCTTAGTAGTGCTTTACGGTTTACCTGTAAACCCTAAGCCCTAAGCTCTAAACCCTAACTAAACCCTAGTCCCGAAGGAAGGGCCGGAGCGGTTCCGCTCGCCTCGTTGCCATGATCCCCCGAATGTTTATAGCGGTTTGAAGGGTACACTAGCATATATAGCGGGGTTATCAGGGGGTTTAGGGTGTTTACAGGGGTTCATGGGGGTTTTGGGCGGTTAATAGGGTGTTTACGGTGTTTAGGTTACGGGGCTTACAGTTTTAGGGTTTCATCCTGTTTAGGGCTTTAGGGTGTGGGGCTTTACAGGGTTTGTGGTTGTTGTGGCAAGGGGTCCTTGTGGGGAGTGTAAGTAGGGCCTTACTAGCGAAAAGTGCGTACGGCACTTACTTTCTTTGACAGGTTCCGTTCCAATAGAGAGCCAGCACTCCAACCCTGCAACCCTCCAATAAACCCTATAAACCCTAAGCCCTAAACCCTAGGCCCTAACCCCCCCCCCTCCCCAGATGCTGGTACGAACTAGTCTCCAAAGAAGCTGCCAGATAATGCCAACACAATGTGGACTACCACGCCATGCCTGAAAGGCGGCGGAAATTTCTTAGGACTCAAGAAGTTGTTAAGGAATGACCGCACGTTCGGCGATGCTCTGACTACTGCGCCGACGTGCAAGCCGGAACTTTTTCCCTTTTCAGTGCTGTTGTTGGAAGAGCCATGGCAAGCCTCCCTCCCCCCCCCCCCCGAAAAAAACACAAAAAGACAAGAAAAAAGAGAAGAAACACAAAAAGCAACCCTAACCCTAAACCCTAAATGCCCTACAACACAAGAAGGCAAAGAAGCAAAGCCTTTAAAAATGTGACTGCCAGGCGCCACCCAGGGAGGCCCCTCGCCCTGCGGCCAGTTCTCCCGTGGTGGACGGCAAGGCATTCTTCAGGCGGGGTGGAGGGTCTAGGATTTAGGATTTAGGGTTGAGGGTGGGCTAAGGGTTTGGGTTTTTTTGTTGTCTCTCTTCAGGGGGGGCAAGGATTTAGGTTGAGGCAGGGTTTAGGGTAGAAGGTTGGAGGAGTTAAGGTGTTTACGGTTGGGGGTTGGAGGAGTTGGGGCTGGTCATGTCTCATGCACTTGGCCCCTCCACCCTAAACCTTAAACCTTAAGCCCTAAACCCTAAACCTCAAAGCTGCAAGGCTTGCCCGGACCAAGCTGCCGATCGAGGTGCATCAGGGCATACCCCCCCCCCCCCCCCCCCCCTACAGCCCTAATGACCCAAACCCCTGGCTGCGGTGCCCCAAAACCCAAGACCCGAAGCCCAACACGCCCCTAAACCCCACACCCCAAACCCCAAACCCCTCCCCAAACCCCAAGCCCTAGCCCTAAACCCTAGACCCCCCACCCCCCCCCCCCCAAAGCCCCATTAAAAAAACCCCAAGCCTTCCTGTTTCGGTGTGCAGGACTTCAACAAGTTCCTGGCCAGCATCAAACGGCTCAACAACCAGCAGCAGACGAGGGAGGAGCCCTGCCTAGGGTTTAGGGTTTAGGGTTTGGGGTTTGGGGTTTGGGGTTTGGGGTTTAGGGCTTAGGGCTTAGGGCGTACGGAGGAAGAATCAGGGCTTTAGGGTTTTGCTGACGCCCGCGGCTCAGTTTTAGAGATGTGCGGGTTTGCGAAAATAGGGGACCCCCAAATACACACCCAAGTAGTAGGATCCCCTTCTGAATAAACAGGACCCCATAACGGTACCCCTCATACCGTAAAGAGGGCTCATGATTCCCGGCCTGCTCGTGAGGAGACGTTGCGGGAGGCCAGTATCATCTTCGGCCCCGACCGATCGGATCTGCATCGGCCCTGGTAGGAGATTTGGGGTTGGGGTCCAATTCGGGTTTAGGGTTTAGGGTTTAGGGTTAGGGTTTAGGGTTTCAGGGAGGTGCCAGTCTGGTGGGCGTTTTCCGGACAAGGGTTCTGGTTCAGGGTTCAAGGCTTTCGGGATTTAGGGTTTGAGGGCTGAAGGGTTTTGCGGTTGCGGGTTCTAGGGGGTGGGGTAGAGGGCTTATGAGGGCTTGAGGAGAATAGGAACTGGGGTTCAGGGGTTGTCCCGGGAGACCTCCTTCTGACAAGTGCTCGGAGCAAGGTTTAGGTTTTAGGTTAGGATCTTAGGGACTCACAGAGGCATCCCAGACCCCAAACCCCGAACCCCAAACCAAAAACCCCAAACCCCAAACCCCAAGCCCTAAACCCCAAACCCAAAACCCCAAACCCCAAACCCTAAACCCGAGCCCTAAACCCCAAACCCCAAACCCTAGCCCTAAACCCTAAACTCCACAAACCGCAGCGTACCCCCCCTAGGTTCCGCGACTTCGAGACCTTACTCAGTCGCCATGGAATGCAGGGGGCCCCGGAGGGCGCCCCGCAGTCGAGGAACCCAGGGCTTCGGAGTGGAAGGGTTTAGGGTTTAGGGTTTAGGGTTTCGGGTTTAGGGTTTCGGGTTTAGGGTTTAGGGTTTAGGCTTAGAGTTTAGGGTGTCGGGATTGGGTTCTTGAAACAGTTTGAGAGATGTGGAAATGGCTGGAAAAGGTTGAAGAGGATTAAACTAGGCTGAAAAAGGTGTTAGCAAGGTTGAAGCAAGGTGAAGGCTCAACAAGGTTCTCAAAAAGCTGTTTAAAGCAGTTTCAAACGGTTAGGGGCTTCGAGGCTTGCTGTTTAGAGGTAGGCAGGGCCTGTAGGGGTTTCCATTACCGGACCGCTGGAGAGCGGTTTAGGGTTTCGGGTTTAGGGTTTAGAGTTCAGGGTTTAGGGTTTAGGGTTTAGGTGTATCTATAGAAAGTCCGTCTGTCGTCTGGGCACCTGCGTTCCTGTGAAGCCACCCACTGCCCATGAACCGCCGAGGTAGAGGCTGCAAAGCCACAGCCGTCTCACTGAGGTGAATGCCTCCTTGGTATAATTGAATCGTAGGGTGACGCCAATGCCAAGAGTCGGGAAAAGGCGGCCTTTTTGCACCTGCATGTCGAAACCCGGCGAGGTAGAACCACCAAGGCCCGAGCCTAAACTCTAGACCCTTGGCCCAAAAACCGGTTTAATTAGGGTTTAGGGTTTAGGGTTTAGGGTTTCAGGGTTTAGGGTTTAGGGTTTAGGGTTTAGGGTTTAGGGTTTAGCACCCAAGAACCCAAAACTCTGAACGGTGAGTCGGCCTAGGGTTTACGGAGAGTTGGCCAGTCCTTCGGGGCTCCGAAGCCCTGAGCCCTAAACCCTCAGCTTTAAACCCTAACCCTAAACCCTAAACCCTAAACACTAAACCCTAAACCCTAAACCCCCATACCCTAAACCCTAAACCCTAAACCCTAAACCCTAAACCCTAAACCCTGAACCCTAAACCCTAAACCCCACACCCTAAACCCTAAACCCTAAACCGTAAATCATTTTGTTGAAAGGGATCTCAGGCCCTGGCCAGGCTGCCTGTGAGGTGGTTCTTCTTCTCCATCTTCTTCGGAGCTTAGAAGGTTGAGGTTCAGGGTTTAGGGTTTAGGGTTTAGGGTTTTCGGAATGTTTGGGGTTTAGGGCTTCGATCTCAAGTTTGTGGTTTCTCGTGTCCATGCGCGCCGGAGCGATCTTTTTAGCTGGAGAGCGCAGATCAGCCTTGGCCTAGAGCGCTCTTGGTAGGGCCCTTTTCCCGAGTCTTAAAGCCCTAAACCCTAAGCCCTAAGCCCTAAAGCCCTAGACCCCAGACCCTAAACCCGAAACCCTGAACCCTGAACCCTAAACCCTAAACCCTAAACCCTACACCCTACACCCTACACCCTACACCCT